TAGCTCTGGAATTGTTTGTAATTCCTCAGTGTTGTGGAAGAAATGTTTTAAAAGTGTTACCCGCACTCGAGAAATTCTCCCCAAATTCTCTTTTACAAGGGGTTCTTACTTGTTACCTGTGTTAAAGCTTGCCTGTGAAGCAGCTGTTTGTTTTTAGACCTTTAATCTCTCTATAAAGGTGCCTGTTGTGAGATATTAAAATGCCACAGAGAAAAAAAAAAGCCCCCCCAAAAAAGAGGAATTTTTAGAGAGAGCCAACCAGCCAAATACAGTACGTGGCCAGACAAAATCAGAAGCGCTGGCTGCAGTACAAACCCAAGAGGCATCAGACAAACCACCCCAACCACAACGGTAACGGTTCACCAGCAAAAGGAATGTAGAAAACAAAATGGGGGGAAGATCCCCCCCTTCCTCCTCCACCTTCCCCCTGAAAGACTATCTGACATGGCTGATGCCTCCCGTGCATTCAAATGTGCCACTCTGGAAGGGCAAATAAGGACTCACTGGCTGGGAAGTTCTGCCTTCAGTGTCGTGCCTGCCTGACCCCGTGCACTCATGAAAAGTGATGCTTAAATACTAAGGGTTAGAGCAGGGGAACACCCCATCTCAGCCCTTTCGTACATGCGCTGAGCTCCTTTGTAAAATTAGTGCGATTTCTATCACCCTTGCTGCAGAGCATCACGTACCGATCGCTGGAGACTTGTTCCAACGTCCAGCTCGTGCGTGCTCACAGCCAGCCCGCGCTCGTCTGGCCTGCGCCCGTTTTGTCTTTCCCCTTAAATAGCTCTTTCCTCTCGGACGTGTTTATAGGGGACAGTCACGTTCCCCTCTCTCACCTCTGCCTTTACTGGGCTGCCTAACCAAGCTCTGCCAGAGGATGGCTTGCAAAGAGCTCCTTGTCCTGGCATCAAAACCTGTATGACATCCTGCCGTGAGCTGAGATATAGCACACCCTGGAAGAGCCCCAGTGCTTTTGTACAGCCTGCTACCCAAGGAGCTCATAAGCCACCTTCTTCTCCCTGTTGCTCGCAGTCCTTGAACGAACACGCAGGAGAGCTCAGCTCGCCGTCTGCCAGGAGGGTACGGCCGAAAGGTGAACTTATCTCACAGCTACTCTTCAAACCCTGCCCGAGTATGGACGCAGGAGCTCCAGCTGCTCGTGCTGGGGCGGCGTCGGGGCTTACTGCCTGTCCCCAGGCTGGAGGCTGCTGCCTTGCTGTGGTCTTGGCAGAAGTAGTGGTGTGTCCCCTCCACAGTCATCACAGAGTACATCCTAGTGTACTAATATACTCTGCAGTAGCTGGTGATTTCAGCTAGTACGTCAGGTTGCAAATGCAGTTGCTAGACTTCGTTCTCATGCCTTTGCTATGGGGGACAAAGATCTTTTGGAAGGATAAGATGGACAGGCAAGAGAAGTCACCTCTTAAACCTCGTGAAGGCTAGCAGGGGGGCCTAAAAGCCTAGATCACAAAGAGTTTTGCAGCCTGGCTCATCCCAACATTTGGCTTCAGAAATTCAGGGTTCAATTTCTGCTGCAAAGTTTGGTGTTGATTCCTGCAACTCACTGCAGCATCTCGGGCTTCCACCCAGCACTTGCCAGGGAGGTGCAGCGGTGATTCACAGTCCAGGGCCCGGCTTCTGGGGGGTGGAGGTGTCGCAGGGAATATCAGCATCACCTGGTGGAGGTGTGCTCTGGGGCTAGTGACAGGAATTACTACGCAGTTTCCTCCACACCAGCCCTGCAAAACCCTTTTTCACCTACCTGGAGTATAAGCTTTCTGTCACGGAACAGCCCCTCCTCTGTCTCCGATGCTGAGTTGCACAGGACCCCCTCTTTAGGGGACACAGTGATAAAACTCGCTTTCCAATGGATTTTAATAGAAGCGCTTAATATTGGCTCCTGTGTAAAGGATCGCAAGTCCTGGCCCTTGGTAACTCCCTGTCCTCCAGGCACAAACACAAGTGAGCTGCCAACGCGCTCCTCAAACGCAGCCTGCAGCTCCAGCGGTCCTGCTGATGTTTGCATCCTTGGAAAGAAGTTATAGGGGTGCCAGCAGTGGCCGTGACCACGGTGTCTTTAAAGCACAGGGATGCTTTGGAAAGTGACCGTGTACAAAAATAACAGTAAAAAAAACCCCAAATCTTTCATACCATCCTCTTGCTCAAACAGCTTCTCCAGGCACCCATCTATTGCATCTAGTAATAAAGATAAGTTTCTACTATCGTGACCTTACCTCAAGAAGCGTAACCCCAAGTGGGCTCACAGATGCGCTTTGGGAGTAAGTGGAATTGCCGAAAAGCTCCCAGAATTGAAGGGACTTCACTTGGTATGAAAAGAGCTGAAGGGGAGGGGAGAAAAATACAGCTGGTAGATTAGACACTGTGATCTGATGCACTCGAGGCACAAAGGACATTAAATTAAACGGAACTGAAACTCAAAGTTAACGAAACCGAGAGACAGCAAACCTATGTGTAATTAGCCTACAGGATTCACTGCCACAAAGTATCACGGAGGCCAAGGGCTTTTCACCGAAAGTTTGGAAATGTGTACATATATACACACACACATAAATATCTACACCTACGCACACAAGTACGTATGTATGTATATACCTATGGTCTCTCAGGGCTGGAAAGGACCCGACAACACCATTCAGTCTTTTCCCCAGCTCCAAGACAGGATCAAATACACATCGGTATTCTCTGACAGATGTTTGTCTAGACCTGTTTTTAACAGAGAATATCCCACCTCCCCAGGCAATTTATTCCAACGCTTCCTTTTCTTCTTCAGCTTTATACACACACGCACACGTATATTTATCTCAGAAGGTGAGCGGAGCGGTCTCTGATGACTTGCACATCAAAAGGCTTGTTAACTCATTTCTCATGGCAAGATCTTTATTGCGAATGATGTACGAGCCCGAAAGATCCCAACCTGACCTGAGATGACAGGCTGAGCTTGGGGGACCTGCAGATGGGGTAAGGGGAGCAAATGGGAAAGGCAGGGGAAATTCATTCCTTTCCTTATTAACCCATCAGATTTGGTCTGCTGATAAAAGAGAGACCAACTTTTGTATACTCCGTTTTTAGACTCAAACATGAAGTGCATTTACTGGTTTCAGTAAAATAAATACACTTTTGGCTTCCTCAGCAGCCACCTCGGAAGAGGTGCTGTCCCGTCAACCTCAGGTAAGGCAAAGGAGGGGATGAAGAATGAGGCTGCGCAGCTGGAATATGCAAATGGCAGGATGGAGAGTAGCACTTTTCCAGCCCGCCCTGGATATCTATTACCTCCACTTTTGGACTGACAATGCACCAAATGTTTCATTGCCTGGGGCCTTACAAAGCCGACCAGCTTTTTTAGCTGAAAGCACTAATGTAGAAAGGCAATTGGGAATTAATTATTTAATGTGGTTCTCATTGGTAGAAAGCTTCTACCTCTCCCGCATCTCAGCTACCATTATACATATGTTGCTTTCTTCAGACTGCAGTGAGTAGACAGCAGCGGAAAATTATGGCTAAATCCCACTCCCACTTGCAATGAACTCCATTTAAATCGACAGATTTGCACTCAATAACTAAGAGCGCAGTTTAGCCCCGTGCTATGAAAACATCGTTTGTGACAAAAACCGTAGACAGATCTCAGTATCTCCATTTCTGAAAATAAGCGATCTCGTACCTCCGCTCCCAACCCCTCTCTTTGACAGGCAGCGGAAGACTATTCCTATTTAAAAATTAAAATCCACGCAAGTAGCCCTATTAGTAGGAAATCGGAACGAGCTCCCTTTAATGTGGCTGGCTGGATGCCTCACTGGAGCAGGCAGAAAGGTGTATCCTGAATCCGCACCGCATGTTGGTTCAGCTCCAGCTTCTCAGGGATTCCCAAGATAAGCATCTATTTCATTTAGAGCCTTTTTAGTGATGACCTGCGTAGAAGCAAACTGTCCTTTTGAAGATCTCTCTGCAACAGCTGCATGCCAGAAACTCCCCTCCAAGTTACTTTAAGAGCTTAAGAATCAGGCCCCATGCATTTAAAAAATAAAGTTTGCAAAATAAGATTCTGCAGCGGGGTTGAGAAGCGGCATGAACTTACGCTGTCAGCCGTCATATGTTTGAAAATGGTAACTTCTTCCCCGCAGTCACCACCTCTGGAATCGTTCCGCATGAAGCCCCGACAGGATCCTACCGAAATTCAACGTAGTGAATTACACCAGGAATTAATTTAACGTAATGTGTCGTGTATTTCCAAACACAGAATACATTGGGTTTGCTTTTTTTCGGCTCTTCAGATGGAAGAAATACGACTGTACAGATGTGCTTTTCTAAGATCCAGTGGCATGAAACCTGAAATACCCCAGCAAGGTTCAGGAGCGAGAAGTTTTAATCACCATGGAAGCACGACACTTTTGAAGGTCTATGAAATTATATACTCGGGTCTGAGAAGGGTAAACTTATCCGTCTGGACGGATCTGCTGATAAACAGAGACAACTCATTTTCTCCTGGAAAGCTGCATGTTATGTTGTTTGAAAAAATAATCAGTTGTTAGAGACAGGTTTATGCTGGGAAGAGAAAGGAGAAAAAAAAAAACAGTGCTGGGAGAGACTTTCTGTAAGGGAAAAGGAAAGGCACCGTGAAAGTATTCCCTTCATTTACGTGATACCCTGCGAATTTGGGAGGTAGAAGAGAAGACGTGCCGAGCATCTCTCAGGGCCAGACAGAGCGAGGCTGGCGACGACGGAGGCATATGGAGACCCACCCAGGGCGCAGACAGAGCGGAGGACCCCCAGACCTCGGCTTACGCAAGGTGACCTTTCCCCTCTCTAAAATTTCAAAGCTGGCGTTGCCGGCGCTGAACAGACTGTGTGCCATATGTAACATGACCTCAGCTCCGCTCTGCCAAGCCACTGATGGCATCACTAATGAGAGGTGAAAGGTCCCTTTCTCGCAGCTCGCTCAGAAACCCACCGAGGCGGCGGGCGCGGGACGGGCCCCCCGACCCCCTTTATCCCCGCGGGCAGCCACCCGCTGACCCCCCGCA